GAACAGGTGAGCCCCCTCCCCAAGCAGAGCACCCAGGAGTCCAGGCTCCCAGCCCCCTGCTCTAACCACTAGCCCCCGCTGCCCTCCCAGACTGGGCCCGATTTCCTGACACCCCCCCCCTTCCCCTCCAGCTCTCTGTCCTACATCAAGATCTTCAACGTGGGGCTGCGTTACCTGGCGAACCGGGTGCAGGACCACGTGCAGAGCCGCACGGTGTACTACCTGATGAACATCCACGTCACGCCGCGGGCCATCTACCTGAGCCGGCACGGCGAGAGCCAGCTCAACCTGCAGGGGCGCATCGGGGGCGACTCGGGGCTCACCTCCCGCGGCAAGCAGGTGGGCTGGGGGCCTCGGGCCTGGCCAGAGCGGGGAGAGGCAACCGAGAGCACTGAGGGGGCTGGGATGGGGAGGGAGATGCCACAAGCAGGTTTAGGGGGGCTAGGTTGGGGCATCAAGGCTCCGGCCTTTTAGAAGCAGCGGCAGGGAGGGGAGCTTGCCTGGGGGTGCGCCCTGGCCAGCTTCATCGAGAGCCAGAAGATCCGGGACCTCAAGGTGTGGACCAGCCACATGAAGCGGACGATCCAGACGGCCGAGGCCCTGCACGTGCCCTACGAGCAATGGAAAGCGCTGAACGAGATCGACGCGGTGAGAGCCCAGGGGCCCGCCCCCAGCTCCCGCGCACGGGCCCCTCTCCGCCCCGCAGTGGGGTGGACGCCAGGCATCAGGCCACCGGCTAATGGCGCGACCTGTTTCAGGGCATCTGTGAGGAGATGTCCTACGAGGAGATCCAGGCCCATCACCCGGAGGAGTTTGCCCTGCGAGATCAAGACAAGTACCGATACCGGTATCCCAAAGGGGAGGTAAGGGAGGGCCCAGCACGCTGACTGGAAAGGGGGGCACTCACTTGTTGGTAACCCATGAAACTCCCTGCCACATGATCTTACAATGACATTGGTTAACCTGTGCAACTCCCTGCCACTGGGTAATAGCAGGGAGATGGATTTGGCAGCGCTCTCAAGTCTGGGGACCCCTTGCCAGCGAGCGGTCCCAGTACAGTGGGTCTCTTGCCAGGAGCGATTCCTAAATGGAATGAATTGGGCAACACAGTTAACCTCTGAAACTCCCTGCCCCATGCTGCCAGGAGCAGATTTTTGAGACCCAGAATTAACCTCGAGCTGGAGGGGGCAGAGTCTGATAGCCCCCCGCAATCATCCCCAGTCCTACGAGGACCTGGTGCAGCGGCTGGAGCCCGTCATCATGGAGCTGGAGCGGCAGGAG